GTCCTCTGAGCTACTTTGAGGATGTGACAACAGCTGTGTCAGAGACCAGAGACAGAGTACAGGACATTGTCAGACACAAATGGACAAACATCTCACTGAGAGTGACTGAAGTGGATGTTTTACTGTCACCAACACAAACAGAGCCAAAGACCAGAGCTGGATTCTTAAGATCTTCACGTGAATTAACACTGGATCCAAAAACAGTGCACCGAAATGTGGTATTATGGGAAGGTAATAGAAAAGCAAAATCAACTGAACAACAACAGTCTTATTCTGGTCATCCAGACAGATTCACTAAATGGTATCAGGTCCTGAGTAGAGAAGGTCTGACTGGGCGTTGTTACTGGGAGGTAGATTGGAGAGGGGGAGACATTGATATAGCAGTCTCATACAAGGATGTCACCAGATTAAGGACATCATTTGGATATAATAATCAATCTTGGGCACTACGCTGTGACATAGATGGTTATGAATTTTGGCACAATAAAGTTCGAACTCTTGTCTTTGGTCATGTTTCTTTCAGAGTAGGAGTGTACCTGGATCACAGAGCAGGTATTCTGTCTTTCTACAGCGTCTCTGAAACCATGACTCTCCTCCACAGAGTCCAGACCACATTCACTCAGCCGCTCTATGCTGGACTTTTACTTTTTGAAGGAACCACTGCAGAATTTATTAAAATGTAAATGATAGTAGAGGCAGTTAGTCTAAATGTGTCTTTTAGTTTCCAGTTTCATTGTTATGGTGTTTCATCTTCACATAGACCACCTGTCATTCACTCTTTATGAGTTCTATTTTTCTATTTTTACTTCGATTTTTACATTGATTGTCTTCTAGGCAATGCTTGTCTTTGTTTTATTTGGCACTACTCACTGTCTGTTTAGCCAAAGAGTCTCTCATTGCTCATGAGTTTTAGTTGTTTTTCCCTACTTTGCTGATTTTGTGTTTGAAAAACTGAAATCATGTCTAAAGCTGCTGTTTTTGCCATATGCTTAACTGTGTCATTTTCGCTTCCAATGTTATCAGCAAGGAAATAGATACAAGACTATAGTCATTGGATCAACTCTTAACTAGCATGATTACATTTAAAAGATGTTCAGTAAACAGCTTGTTTGTAATTTTACCTTTAATAAATGGAACTTTGTAAATATAGTTTATTCTTTCTCATGGATACAATACAATAGTTATATTGGAATTAATTTATTTTTGCCTCTGATATATTTATATATAGAAGTCCACAGTAATATAACAAGAATATTGTGTCAGTAAACTTCACGTTACTCTTCTAAATAGGGAATCTGCAAAACTGTAACTATTTATTATTATTGTGTATAATTCTCTCTTGGTCATTACTGTTGTTTGTATTGTTACTTTTGTTCATTCAAATAACTGAATACTAACACTATAAAATAAACATTGATGCAGTCATGTCCTTTGAAAAGAGCCACACATTTAATGCAAAGGAGACACTGGTTTTAAAATAAGCTGAAAATATATATGCTTGCAAAAGCTCATCAAAATAATTTACTTAGCACACCACCAAAGTTTTCACAGACAAACTTTACACTGGATCATACCTTTTCAGAGCTATCATCAGAGCTTTTGCAAGAAAGAAGGACAAACAGAAATTTAAGCTACATTTACGAATTAACTTAGATAAATAAGAGTTATCTAAAAGTATTGTTTGAAAAAAAAAACAATAGCAAAGATTTACAAATAAAGATTTTTCACAAACTATTAATTTTGCATGTTGACAAATAATTTATCCATTATGCATTAGCTCGTACAACTTACACATTCGTTTGTTGTAATGTTGATTTTTCCAGTTTGAGACAAACTTTTTCAGAATTATTATGCCCATAACTACATTTTTAATAACTTTACTTCAAATAGTTTAATCAGACTTGGTTTTGAGAATAAGGAAGACATAATCAGGAAACCCTAACCCTAATTGTCATGGTTCTGGGTCCCTTTGATCCAGGATTCTTGTATTCTAGTAATATTTTGAATTATGGTTTATTTTCAGGTTCATTTATATTCTTAGTTATTCTATTGTGAGTTTCTCTTATTCCCTGTTTAGCTTTTGATTATTAGACTCCCGCTTGTGTCTTTGCCCTCTGTGTCTCTCTCTTTGTGCTCTATTTATATATATTGAGTTCTTGTGTCATGTTTCCCTCCTCGTGTTTCATTCTTTGTTCTCCAATGTTTGCCATGTGTATCCATGTTTCCCCAGTCTGTCATGTCTCTCTTGTCTCCTCTTTCACTCCCTCACTCCCTCTCATCTGCCTTTCCTCCACTCCTGTGTTATGTCCCTCTGTTTCCTGTTTTATTGTGAAGATGTTGTGTTTCCATGTTCGGTGTGTCTGGTTTTGCGTAGTATGTGGCGTAGTATATTTTGTATTCTCAGTTTTGTTAATGTCGGTTTTCCTTGTGTTCAGCAATAAAGCTCTTTTTGAGTTACTTTTTGCCTGCCTGGGTCTGCAATTGAGTCCAGTCCTGCCTGCTCAACACAAGTTCGTGACACTAAACTCAAAACTGGTCCCTAAAGCAATTTTTCCACCTACTACTTTTATAAATGTGCTCTGCTGTATAAAAAGGGTTAAACTCAGTGTCTGCTTCAAAATACCTGTTAAGTCCTCTCTGATCTCCAAGAAATACAGGAGTTCCAGTCTGTCCACATATTTTCTAAAAATAGTTTCATTCATATATAAGAAAAACTCCGTCATTGCTCCTGGGAGGAAACACTTTGTTCTATGTGAACAACTACAGTAGTTCATAGCAGATGTAAATTTAGTAACACTTATTACCTTCGTACTTATTGTTATAACAGACTGATCTTAAAAATTAAAATTTAGAGTCTTCCCAAGTTATAAACATTAAAATCTCGACCCTGAGATGTTAATGTTCCCCGAGATGAAATGTAGAAAAAACTTGTTTTCATAATTTTTAACAATATTTTTGTTAAAACGTTTAAATCAACCCTTAATAGGTACTTAAAAAGCATATACAGCTTCCCTGTTTGCAATTTTCAAGACGATTTAAGAAAGCGCAAATGTAGTAAAGACAATGCTGGAATCCACATAAAAAAATTAGATTGATTCAAATGTTGAAAGGACTCAACAACTATCATTTTATTTCACAGAGATGTCTTTAAATTTTCAAACAGGGATTCAATCTGTTTAAATATAAATATAATGTTTTTCTTCTTGTGTAAGTTTGACATTGTATTTCTAATCCAGTGCATAACATTTGGTCTGAGTGGGTTTTTTTGGCTGTAGTAAACAAATTATTTTGATGTGATTTTGCACAGACGTTGTCAGCTGATAATAATAATTAAAAAAAATCCTCAAAACAAAAACTGTTGGAGTTTAGTTTAATTATTTTCTTACATCAGATCAAAATCTAATCATGTATTTAACAATTGCAGTCTGCCTGTTCAGTTTTTCTACTGAGTATAAACACACAGGAAGAGATAGTTTGAGAACATAAGAGTACATGTATGACCAGTGAGGGATATCATGTACCGTAATCGAAAACACAAAGCTCTGTAGACCAACTATAGAACAATAAATTTGGGAATTTTGAACCTCGCACAATCAGACAACACGTTTAGTAGAGCCTGGCTTTTCATGTTTTCCATCTGAATCCCACCCATATTTAAAATTTTCCCGAACAATGTTTGGACAAAGATAAAGTTTTGATATTTATTTCATAATAAACACAATCCCTCTGAAACATATGGTCATAGTTTCTGCATTTAAAATGCCCATGTAAGATGAGAAATATAATGTAATGAGAACAGCAGAGGGTGCGGTGGCTGAGCTGTCCTGAGGTGTGGTTAAGTTTATTCATATAGTTTTGGACTCCACGCCTAAATCCTTTGTTCAAAGATGTCTCACCTATTTACCTATGAACAGACTTCACACTGTTAAGGATGCACCATAATCTTTCTTTCATCAAAAAATATCAAAGAGTAGAATGATAAATAAAGTTTCACGTGATATAAACTGCATGTTTTATTGCAGATGTGTCAAACTCATTTTAGTTTGTGAACCACATGTAACCCAATTTAACTGCAAGTAGGCTAAAGAAATAAAACCACAATAATGTATATTTAGAAAAATAATCCACT